GTGCTGTGTATAAACAGGAGAGTAATTTTAGCTAAATATTTTACCCACCACCTTTCCCAAATATCCACATAAGTATTTTTTTTTTTTTTTTTAATACTGACCTCGTTTTGTCAAGGAGTAAAAACTTGCATGCTCCGTTTGCATGAAGGGGAAGAAAGATGAAATTTAAATTCCAGACTTTCTAGTGTGGATTATTTTTGCTGTTCTACTTATGTGCTGAAACCAGTTAACATGGAGGTTTGTGGCAAAGGCCCTAGAGGGCAGCATGAAGCCACCTGGAGTGCCCATGACTGGTCACGATTTGCTATTTGGTAGTTTAAGAGTTCAATTACCAAATTTATAACATTTTCTTTTCTTTTTTTTTAATTGATTACTGAGTTTCTGCCTCCTAACAGACCCAATGTGAATTAAAGCATGCTCATCCCTTCATGATTTGACTGTCCTCAATAACATGGAAAAGCAAGCACTGACTGCATAATTGGGTCTAATCCTACACTGCTTGAGTATTTTGTGGTCCATTTTCACCAGTCAAGAAAGTAAAAACTCTGCAATTTTTGCATTCTTCCACTGGTATGTACTAAAACACCTCATTCATGTTGTATCGGCTATGATGTTACTCACCTCAAACTGCACTCAAGTATGCTAAACTGCATAACAAGGGAAAAAAACAATACTTGTAAAAACAATTATAGTTTTGTGTTGATTATTTTGTTTCTATTAAACATAGTTTAAATGCCTAGTTCTCATGGAAGATTCAAATACCACCTTTTCCAGGTTTTGAAATGCAAAGCTACACTCTGTAATTAGTTTATGACACATTAATACTCAGACCAGCAGTCTACTATCACCTTAATAATTAAAACTTACCTCAATAATTGCCCTGAGAGCAGTCAGTGTATCACACAGATGTTGTTGGTAGCTTTGTTAAATTCGAACAATTTCAACAATCTTTCTGCAATTCAATTCACAATAAGTTACTGAGAATTTTTGATATACAATAAAAGGACAGGAGCAACTACAAACCCAAGCCAAGTAACTTTTATATACTTTTCTCTCTCTCTCTCTTTTTTTTTTTTAATTTAATAAAATTAAACCTAAGCTTTTGGACTTGAAAAAATAGAAAGGTCATGTTCCCTTCCCACCACTTTTTTTTTCTTTGATTATTTAAATATTTTTTTAATAATGTTCATATCAGAAGCTTGAATCTGAGGCTTTATGTTTATTTCTCCCTTGTAGTGAGGGCTCACTGTTTGCAAAATGATTGCCTAGGAGTGTTAATGCTGGCATGGGTTGTTTTACTATCTAAAGGTCACTGACTATATGTTTTCAAATACATACATGAGAAATGAACTGTAAATAATTTATACACACAGGGAGTGTGCTAAGTTTCTTGCCTGTTAAAATATTATTGTAAAGCATTTTACCAGAAATAATAACACCACAATCTGTTTTCTTAGACATGCTTGTTAATATGCTGAGTACCTTGTAATCCATGTTTTGTTCATTGCAAATTTGCAAAAGACACCCTAGACTGTCACTTTTAAATCTGTATTAGTACTTTTTTTTTACTTTCTTTTTTCCAATACTTCAGTAAATTACTTCCCATTAAGTAAAATATTGTATTAATCTACATAAAGAGGGTATATGAATAAGAACTGGCATCTAGTAAAGATTAACACATAGAGTGAAAAAAGAATTTTTTCATTGAGTAAAAACTCAGTCTCTGTCAGTGGATCATTTATGAATTTACAAATATTTGAGGCCTGCTGATCATTATTTTCTTCATGTTGTGCTTTAACAACACTTCAGTAGATAAACAAATCTTGCTAGAGGGAACAAACGAGCTAAAAATAAAAAGCTTAGTACTATTTATATATAGATATACAAAGTAAGGTAGTCAAAAGAAAAGTGAAGCTGTTCTATTACTCTGTTCAAGATGCTGATGGCTGGGTTCAGTCACCCAAACACAATCATCTAATGCATTTCTATGCCCATGTTCAATTGACCATGGGTTTCTACACCCGTCAGAGCTCACAGATTCATATCCACGCTTTGGACATCTTAGACTATCAGCAGGAATTTCATCTGCAGAGTAAAACACCCAAATTTAAGCGTCTACATAAGAACTAGGTAAGTTTCCAATACAGGCAATGAAGTAAATGAAACTTGACTCAGTTGCTCATGAGTACATGGTTTAGCGTCAAAAGAAATGAGGTATGACAGACATCTCGTGCAGGGCTGGCCGACATAACACGAGGCTGAAGGAAACCTGTCCCTTTCTGAACCCAGAGGCAGAGGCCAAGTAGCACATCTTTAGGCATCTCCACTGAATAGAGACAGACCTGTACTGACTATACAGGAAGACACTCCCCTGAGACACCTAAATGTAGGTTTCCTAATCTGATGAGCACATCCTCAACCCAAAATAACAAATTTGCTTTTAAATAAAGTCTTGGCAATATATAAGTATTGATGACATCTTGGTAATGCTTGTTGTAAGAACCACTCCACTGCATCACTCCCATGGATGATAAAAATTTAAAGCTGACATTAGGAAAACTACAACTCATGAAATGGAAGAACTGAATACACAAAAGTGAGCACATATCTCACTAATCCCAGGCAAGGAAAGCATAATGAGAACTGACCCCCAATATAAATACACTTTGTATCCTGATGTACAAAGTGTTCTCTGTTAAACTAAAAACTCCTTCTCCAAACCTTTAGTATTGCACATTTGGAAGATATTCGGATTCACTATTTGACAGGCAGAAAATATTTATGCAGGAAGGATATTTAGCCTTCTCAAAAAATAACTAACTTAGAAACACTCAAGTATCTGCCAGATGGTAACTAGTCAGATTCTGCAAAGAAGACCCACACATATGTACCTATCATATCAATCAAAGATATCAAAATGTAAGCCCAGTAAGGGGTCAAATCTTGTTTATAAATCTTAATTCAACACTCTGCAAAGTATTTTTGTTAAAAAGAATTGAAATATCAGCATTTTAGCAAGACATAACAGAGGAAGTGTTAAAGGAAATACATTCTGCTTACCACCACCTCAGAGGAGCAAAATAATCAAAAGTCTTTCAGGCATTAGAGGTAGAATGAGATACTGCTTCTAAAAATAGTATCACAAGCATTTAATTTTAGTTCCTATCTCTGTACAAGTAATCTGAGAAGTAAAAAGAAAGTTATTCTTTCTAGGAATTAATCTTTTTGCACACATAATTATTTTATAAGCTGAAGAACCTTCCTTTGAAATGTCTTACACAGTAAAGGGACAGACGGAAACACCTCCTTTTGGAGGGACAGATCTCCCTCTGCAGGTTTCTAGTGGCACCCGTCTTCCACCACAAATTGCTAAGGCGCTTCTGTTAAGCAGACTGCACTGTGCCTCCTTTCATACTGCACCCTCTCTGGCAAGTCTAAGCATTAAATTTCAGATACACACTGCTTAAGATACACATATAATTGTGTGAGAGTTGATAATGTGATCTGAATCTTCTTTCTAATTTTCTTTTGTATGAGATTTGCAGAAGCACTGCACTACTTTATTTAGTATCCTGTGCTAGTTTTGACAGAGGTAGAATTAATTAGCTTCGCAGTGGCTAATGCAGGGCTGTGTTTTGGATTTGTGCTAAGCACAAGGTTGATAATATAGTGATGTTTTTCTTACTGCTGAACAGTGCTTACACAGAGCTGGCAAGGAAGTTGGGGGTGCATGGGAGGCTGGGAGGAGAGACAGCCAGGACAGGTGATTCCAACTGAGCAAAGGGATATTCCATACCATATGACATCATGTTCAGTATATAAAGTGGGGGAAGAAGGGGGGGGCATTTGGAGTGATAGCATTTGTGTTCCCAAGTAGCTGTTATGGGTGATGGGCCCTGCTCTCCTGGAGATGGCTGAACACCTGCTGCCCGTGGGAAGCAGTGAATTACTTTGTGTTTTGCTTTGCTTCTCTGCACAGCTTTTGCTTTTCATATTAAACTGTCTTTATCTCAACCCATGAGTTTTCCAGCTTCTACCCTTCTGGTTATCTCCCCAATACCTCTGGTGGAGTAGTGAACAAGCAGTTGCCTGGTACTTGGCTTCTGGCTGATGTGAAACCACATCATCTTCTTAGCCAAACTCATAACACACCAGGCAAATGTCAGTGGAACTGACAGGCCCACATTTATTTTCAGCCTCTTAGCCACTATTAAATAGATTTGAATCTTCAGACTTCTCAGTTATCTTTTTTGTGCCTTAAGCAATGTTAATTCCTACGTAATTGTCTCTGATTCTGATAGCCAAGTAAGACAGTCTCTAATTCAACTATTGATATTTATATATTATTCTATTTTGAAAACATTTATATCATGTAGTTTAAAGAGGTATATGAAAACAGAAGAAAAGCCAAAACAGATTCCTTAAGAATTACACAAAACAGAGATGCCAATGACAAAAGTACATTTTTTATAGCATGATGAAGACTCTGTTATCATACTGTCCTAATTTACCTTGACTAAAGCTTGCATACCAATAGGTAACTTCTTTAATTCTGATGGTTCTTTGGTACCTATTTGTGTAGCACGATCTGTGCTAAAGTCCTATTTTTAAGTCATCTGTAATGCAAGGACTACAAAACCAGAAAGAACTGGAAAAAACACTTGCAGTGTTACAGTACTTGTATTAATAAAGTTAATTGATTTTCTGTTAAAAATGGAAATTCAGAGGCAAAATGCCTATATTTATCATTTCACTGATCTGACTTTTTTTAAGATAGCGGGTTTGAGTGGCCAGCTTTTGGTAGCGGGGGGGCTATAGGGGTGGCTTCTGTAAGAAAGGGGCCAGAGGTTTCCCCCATGTCTGACAGAGGCAATGCCAGACGGCTCCAGGATGGACCTGTACCGGGCAAGGCTGAGCCAGTCAGAGATGGTGGCAGCACCTCTGGGATAACGTATTTAAGATGCAAATAAAGGTTATTCCTTGGATTTAATTGTGCTCAGAGAAAAGTGAGAACATGTGAGAGGAACAACCCCCCAGACATGAAGGTCAGTGCAGAAGGAGGGCGAGGAGGCGCTCCAGGCTCCGGAGCTGAGGTTCCCCTGCAGCCCATAGTGCAGCCCAAGGTGAGGCAGCTGCGCCCCTGCAGCCCAGGGAGCACCAGGGGGGTGCACAGATCCCCCTGCAGCCCATGGAGCACCAGGGGGGTGCACAGATCCCCCTGCAGCCCAGGGAGGGGCCCACGCCGGTGCAGTTGGAAGCCCGAAAGAAGGCTGTGACCAGAGTCAGAAAAAAAAGGCGGCTGAGTCCCGTTAACAGCGTCCCAGGCGTCACTCGAGAGCTCTGCGGCTGCAAAGACAGACTGGAGCCCCTCGGCGAGCTCCCTGCCCGCAGCGCCCGGCGCCGGCAGGGCAGGAAGTGACGCGGAGCGGGAGCGGTACCGGGGCGGTGTCGGGCCCGGCCCCGCTAATCCCGCTCTTCCCCGTCCTGCGGTCGGGGCATCGCCTCGCCCCGCCGGCCCTGGCTGGCCCCCGGCAGTCCCGCCGGTTCCGTCGCCCTTCCGTGGCCCCCGCTGCGCTCCGCAGGTGCCGAGCAGAGCCCGCCTCGGGAGCACCCCCGGTGTCTGGTTCACCCCTTCCCCGGGGGAACATATCCGTCCAGCCGGAGCACCCCGTCTGCCGACAGGCAGAGCGCTCGTCATGTGTTCCTCCTGTTTGCGACCGGTCAGCTGCTGCTCCACAAATAATCTCACTCCGTTCTGGATGTTTTTCTCATTTGACACGCAGTAGTCTCATTCCGGAACCCCCTCTCCACCTTAAGCCAACCTCCTCGCTGTTGGATTATCTGGCCAGCTGAAGACTTCCTATTTAAGCTAAAAGTGCTGTCTAGTTGGAAATACCAGTGGTTAGATCCTGACTGGAGAGTATCTGCTGAGAGTTCACGTGCTCCAGGTAAATAAGGCCAAGAAACATTTTCCCCACATGATGCTATGTTTCAGACAACATTGCATATGATGTGGCATCAGTGCAATGATTCCCACCACACACAGCCGATCTTGAACTTCATCCACTTCTCCCTTCTCCAGTCTGTTTGAAAACAGAAGTGAGAAGTTCAGATGGATTTTTTAAGATGCATAATAAGGATGAGAAGAAAATGTGGAGGAAATATGGAATAGCAGCTTAAGCCGGATGGAGGTAGAAGAAGAAGAAGGAAAAATCTCAGGCAGTTCACGACTGCAGGCTAAAAGAAGGTGATGTCAAACATCACACAAACACTGAGTGGCCAGTTTTCTTTCATTGTGATAACAAACTTTTACATTCTGGTTTTCATGTGGTTAGGAGACAGTAGTGTGATAACTAAAAGCTAGACATAACTTTCTGATAATTCTCTGAGTTTGAATACACTGTTTGATTTGTAGTGCCCTTTGACCTCAATAGCTATTATCAGTTACTTTAAAAATCCCTTAAACTTTGCTCAAACTAAAGCTATACCTAGAGAGATGGCAAACATGTAATATCAAATATTGTATTGACCTGGCACAACTCTATATAGAAGCAAACAATAATTTACAGATGCTGTAAGGATTTTTAAACAGGATGATTTCTTCTAATGGAGTTGAATTTTGCTAGGATTAACATCTGTGCCTGTTCATAGATGTATCTATGCCTGTTCATAAAAATTATGTATCATAAATCACCATGATTAGGTGGATAAAACCGTTTCAAACTGTATGTATCCACAGAATTGTCAGGCATTCATATGGTTTTTACAAAAATGTGCCTTTATTTTCAAGAATGAAAATAATTGTTGCACCTTTTCTGCAGGCTCTGGGCATTATTTCATCTGCAGAAGAAAGATGGACAGTGATACAAACTGCCAACATACCATTAAATGCTAGATTTTTTCTATTCCTTGAGCTTAAGATGAAAAATGGATAAACCAGCTACCTCTATTATAATAGCAAAATGTCGCTGATAGAAATTTAAGAAGTTACATATAGTACAGGAGGTAAGTCATGAGTACATTGACAAATGTTACTTAAATGAATATAAAAGAGGGATATTTCATTATTAAGTCAGATGTGCTGAGTAATAGTTTAAATTGATACTTGTAACTCAACTATTCTCAGGTTTTCTTTCAGTTATTAACGTAAGAGTAATTGAGCGAGTGGCAGAAATTGTTACTTGGCTTCAAAGACCATTTGTAAAGCCTATCTTACTTTTAGGTCACCTTTCAGCACTAGTAATGTCGAGAAGAGTGCATTTTGGTTGGGGAAAAAGTCCAATTAGCTATTCAAAACAGATAAAAAAAATATTAAGGCTGTTATAAGTTAGTATAAGAATTTAGACAACTCAATTCCAATTAAAAATTGATAAATTTATTAAGCAAGCGATAATAAAGCAAACAGCGCTGGGTGGCCTGGGGGGCAGTTGCCCCGCCTGAGACACACACTGAAAATGTAGTAAATGTTCCTTTTTATACAT